CATTCAAATTTTTTCCCATCAACTTTCAATGGTAGGATAGTGGCCTACTAAGGTGGTGACGGGTGATGAAGAATTAGGGTTCAATTCTAGAGAGGGAGCCTGAGAAATGGCTACCACATCTAAGAAAGGCAGCAAGAGCGCAAATTACCCAATCTTGACACTGGGAGGTAGTGATAATAAATAACAATACCTGTCTCATCGAGTCTAGTAATTGGAATGAGTACAATCTAAATCCCTTAACGAGGATCCATTGGAGGGCAAGTCCGGTGCTAGCAGTCGTGATAATTCCATATCCAATAGCGTATATTTAAGTTGTTGTAGTTAAGAAGCTCGTAGTTAGACCTTCAGCTTGATCAATCGGTCTACCGATGATGCACTCCTAGCCTTAATTGGCCAAGTCGTGCCTCTGATACTGTTACTTTAAAGAAATTAGAGTGCTCAAAGCAAGCCTATGCTCCGGATACATTAGTATAAGATAACATTATATGATTCTGATCCTATTGTATTGGCCTTTGGGATCAGAGTAATGATTAATAGGGATAGTTGGGGACATTCGTACTTCATAGTCAGAGGTGAAATTCTTGGATTTATGAAAGATGAACAATTGTGAAAGCATTTGCCAAGGATGTTTTTATTAATCAAGAATAAAAGTTGGGGGCTCGAAGACGATCAGATACCGTCCTAGTCTCAACTATAAACGATGTCGACCAGAGATCAACGAATGTTGCTTATAGGACTATACTAGCACCTTATGAGAAATCAAAGTTTTTGGGTTCCAAGGGGAGTATGGTCGCAAGGCTAAAACTTAAAGGAATTGACAGAAGGGCACTACTAGGAGTAGAGCATGTGGCTTAATTTGACTCAACATGGGGAAACTTACTAAGTCCAGGCATAGTAAGGATTGACAGACTAAAAGCTCTTTCTTGATTCTATGGGTGGTGCTGCATAGCTGTTCTTAGTTAGTAGAGCGATTTGTCTGGTCAATTTCATTAACGAACGAGACCTCAACATGCTAACTAGCTATGCAGATGCGACCCTCTATGGCCAACTTCTTAGAGGGACTATGGCCATTTATGCTAAGCAAGTTTGAGGCAATAACGGGTCTATGATCCCCTTAGATGTTTTGGGCCGCACGCCTCTACACTGATGTATTCAACAAGTCTATAACCTTGGCCGATAGGCCTGGGTAACCTTTGAAATTTCATCATGATGGGGATAGATCATTGCAATTATTCATCTTTAATGAGGAATTCCTAGGAAGTGTGAGTCATCAACTCGTGCTGAGTATGTCCTTGCCCTTTGTACACATTGCCTGTCACTCCTACCAATTGAATGGTCTGGTGAAGTATTCGGATCGAGACGACGTGGGTGGTTTGCTGCCAGTGATGTTGTGAGAAGTCTATTGAAACTTATCATTTAGAGAAAGGAAAAGTCGTAATAAGGTTTTCATAGGTTAACCTACTGAAGGATTATTGTTGATACCAAAGCAAAAGGGCAACCCTTGAATCGGTTGACACAAGTCTCAAGCAGGGGCAAAAGGCCGAAGGTACCATGGCGTCCCAAAGTCTCTACCCATGCACGCCAGGGACAGGTCCTGTGCATCAGCACAGGCCCTGACCCCAGCTCCAACAACCAAAACCCCACCGCCATAAGCGTTAAGGAACTGCAACTAAACAAAGCACGCCATTGGTCGCCTGGGCACGGTGCTGACCAGCGTTGTGTATCATGCCATTTGCATCTAAAATGACTCTCAGCAATGGATATCTTGGCTCTCGCATCGATGAAGAATGTAGCAAAATGTGATACTTGGTGTGATTTGTAGAATCCTATGAATTATCAAGTTGTGGCCAAAGCCACTAGGCCAAGGGCACGTTTACCTGGGTGTCACATAAAGTCGCCAATGCGCCCATCACAAGCATGGTGTATGATGGCCTCTCGAGAGCCTTAACTCACGGCTGGCCAACAAAAGGGCTCAAATTGATAGTGGCCACAATCCACAGTGGATGAGTAAATAAGATGCGCTTAAGAGACAGGACATGTGCGTGTCATTGCACAAAGAAGGAGCCTCACGATGAGCGCTCCCTCGATGCGGAGGAAGGCCCAAGACACGTACACAACCTCAGGTCAGGTGGGGCTACTCGCTGAGTTTAAGTATATCAATAAGTAGAGGAAAAGAAACTAACAAGGATTCCCTTAGTAACGACGAGTGAACTAGGAATAGCCCACCATAAGAATCAGTCACCCTTGGTGTCTGAATTGTAGTATGAAGAAGCGTCCCCAGTGGCAGAGTGGGCCCAAACCCCTTGGAAGGGGGCGCTGGAGAGGGTGAGAGCCCCGATTTGTCCCTCCCCCACATTCCATCTCATCCTCCTCTTAAAATAGTGAAGTAGGCCTAACGTTACATTGCTTGACTAAAAGACTTACAAATTATGCTAAGTCTGGGAAAAGCTCTGGGTCGTAGTCCAACCCTTTTCCGGTTAAGTCTTGGGAAGGTCTAGTATTAAGGACTTAGAAATTATACTAAGTCTGGAGAAAGCTCTAGGCTGTAGTCTGACCCTTTTCCGGCCAATTCCTTGGAAGGTCTAGTGTGGTTCGAGCAAGTGTGGGCAAGTCCTGGCATAGTCCAGGCAAGTTTGGCACAAGTTTGAGCAAATCCTGGCATAGTCCAAGCAAGGGTATGGCAAGTCCTGGGAAGGTCTTGCATGTCCACCCTGATTTTTGGGAGTTAAAATTTCGAAAAATGCGGATGGGGTTAGCCACGAAAAAAATGTGTCATTTCGTGAAAAAGTATCCTTGTTTGTGGATTGAGAAATTTCCCAAAATCTATTATAGAGGGCTTCCTAAGGTGTGAGCAAGGCCTTAGCATGGTCCGGGCAAGGTTGGATCAAGTGTGGGCAAGTCCTGGCATGGTCTGGGTAAGGTTGGCATAAGTCTGGGCAAGTCCTAGCATGGTTCGGGCGAGTTCTAGGAAGGTCTTGCATGTCCACCCTGATTTTTGGGAGGTGAAATTTGGAAGAATATGAATGAGGTTAGCCATGAAAAAAGTCTGTCGTTTCGCAAAGAAAAATCCATGTTTATGGAACTTGAGAAATTTTCCAAAATCTACTATAAGGGGGCTCCCTGTTAAAGTATGCACCAAATAGGAAGTGGAACAAGCAAGGAGAAGGGCAAAGAATTGGTCTTGGGATAGTGAAGTTATATGACTTTTATGATTATGTAATATTATGTTGTATATTAATGAACTTTGATATGATTTTGTAATGGATTATGGATTCGGTAAACGTTGAGACCATGTAATTATAATATTATATTGCTATTGATAAATATGGTTTTGTATGGCTGAATTGATATGGTATGGAAGAGAGGAAAGAAAATTTAAGAAAACTGGATTGAAGGGATAAAAATACCCTAAAATTTGGACAAATTTGGGACACATAAAATAATGATCAAATGAATGAGTTGGACTTGATATTTTCTTAACTTATAGATCTCATTTTTAGCTTTAAATCAAGTGGTAGATCATCAAATTTGGAGTTTTGTGCTAAGAGCTATACCCTTCCAAAGTTAGGCTAAAATTCTGAAAATTTGAAAAGTTACCAAATGAACAGTACACCTTTGATTATTTCCTGACTCTGTTTTGTGCAAATAAGATATCAATGAATATTTTTCCTTGAGAGAACATATAACAAGCTTTAAATAGAACCTATAACCACCTTATTTTTATTTTTCTATAATTAGATATGAATTTTCAAAGTTTGCTAAACATTAAAGGTTGGATGAATAGTAACCCGAGGGCAAGTGCCTGAAATTTTAAATTTTCTTGCCTTTAAGTCCTTATTAATGGTTCTGAATGGTTCTATTCGCAATATTATGCTTTACAAAGGGAGGTGTGACACTTCTGGCTATCAATGCCTGGTTCTGGCTTACTATAGTATGCTCTAATTATGTCTTATGAGTAAATGTGCTGAACTGCTGTTTCATGATTGGCCATTGTGCTAGTGCAATATTACATTGTATTGCACTGTATGTCCAGTATTATATTTGTTTGTTTGATTTTCTATATTATGAGAAAAGTGCAGAAACCAAAAGGGATGGGTTGCCTAAGTTGGTCTAGTCAAGGTTGAGAAGTTGAAATGATTATATCAAGGGAAGAAGACATAGAGGAGAAGGAATTGTTAGTGGCAGTCTCACCCAAGGGGGGATGAATTGGGTGAGTTATAAAAATTTACGAAATTAAAACAAAGAACTATCGGAAACATAGAGTGTGAGTTTAGAATGATTTCACCGTAGAGAGGAAGACACAAGATTTATACTGGTTCGGTCTCAACCACTTGACCTACGTCCAGTCCTCAGAACACCTCTGAGTATTTCACTATGTTTCAAGATTGATCGGGCTCTTGGTGCCTCAGTATAGTAATTGAAGCTCTCAATTACTCCCTTTTACTTCCCGTAAGGTTACAGTCCCACTCAAGAGTCCACACCCTTGAGTATCACACAAACGTGATTAATGAATAGTAAATAAACTCTCTTACAGAGTGAATAAATGATAATCACTGAAGCTCAAAGTTATGGAAGAATAGAGTATTGAATGCAACAGTAAAAATTAACAGAGGGTAGCTCGCATATTCAATCTGTCCATTTAATGCTTTTTCACGCCTTTTATAGTTGAGGTCGTTTAGTAGCTGTTAGACGGAAGAGCTTCTAGTCGTTGTGAGTCCGGTTGCGTGTTTTTCTAGTTGTAACGGTTTCCGCCATTAATGCTTCTGACAAGGTAGGTTACAGGCTACTTAGACAACTGTTGGAGTGTCGTTGGGATTTTCTTTGTAATCTGCAAAAATACATTGATTCAATAAGTTTCTCTTCGTAGAATAAGATCAAGAGTAGATCCAAACAACTGATAAACGAATATTCATAGTTTATGGTTATAATCAATCAGTTGTCAGATGCACTGAGTAGTAACTGAACGTGCTTGATCGAAGTGATGTTCGATTATTACTTGATCGATTAGGTTATCGATTATTCTGAGTGAAAACTTTTGAACCAGAGAACTAAGATTATTGATCAAGTGATGGATCAATGGTTTATCAATCAAGTGATCGATAAAAGGAAGTAGTGATATTATACTATGATGTATAGACAATGAAGATCAAGGTTGCTTTTGATTTTGAAGCTCTTTAAATAGTGAAACAAGACATTTATGAAGGCTGAGAAAAGGTCGAATGAAATATATGATAAATTTTGAGAAATATCGAGACTTAAGGTTTGGACTGAAATCACCTTATGATCGAACAAGTGATCGAACATTTGTTGATCGATCAGGTTATCGATAAACAAAGTGTTATAGAAATAAATTTTGGAACACTAATTTTCAAACACTTTATCGATAAATGGATGATAGATAACCTTATCGATAAACAATAAGCAAAAGTATATTTAGTGAAAACACAGGCTATGTGAGTTGATCGAATAGGTGATCAATAAAGGGTTGATCGATAATGTTATCGATAAAGAGACCTATTCTTGTAAAACCAAAAAATATTGATTTATCGATCATGTTATGTGAAAACAAAGTAAACATGAAGTGGTTATCGATAATGTTATCGATAATTTGATTATCGATCCGGTGATCGAAGAGCCATGATGTAATACATATATGTTGATTATCGATCATGAGATCGAAAATGTTCTTATCGATAAGGTGATCGATAAGCCACTGAAATAAATTCCTGCACAAAAAGTTATAAGGCAATGTTCGATCTATTATCGATAAACGGATGATCGATAATGTGATTGATAAATGGCGACAAAAGCAAAACATAGAATGAGTAGAGTGCATTACCATTTATCTGTCTTCTCATCGATAACCGGTTTATCGATCATGTGATCGATAAATACCTATCAAATTTGCATCCCGATTATCGATCAAGTGATCGATGACTTATCCCCGATTTTTATATGCAACTAAGAGTGATCGATCAAATGATCGATCAACACATTATCAATCAAAGTTTCTGCTGAGTTTTCTTAAATAAACAGTGTTATTACCTATCAGCTTATCGATAAAATCTTGATCGATCAGATGATCGATCAACATGCTGAAACACAAGTTACTCACTTTGTTATCATCAAAACCTTAATCCTAACAGGAATGACAGAGAATAATTGAGAGATGGGTGGCCATTATTTGACAGACTACCTTCTGGGAAAACAATAACTAAATTGAAAAAGTTTGAATAGGATATAAGTAAAGTCAAGAAAATTTTCTTGAGAAAGATGGCATTAAAAGAGCAAAATAGGTAGGGGATGTTAGTCTATGTCTTAGTGTGTTAGTGGAGTAATGAGACCTCAATAGGGGTGAAGCAACAGAAAAGAGACTATTTTAAGTCTTAAAAGGATAGTCAGAAATTACTTGAGGAATTAGTAATACCAAGTTCTTGGCTATTTATTTTGACATAAAGGTGAAGTTCTTATGATTGCTATGATAGTAATAAATGGAAAGGGGTATAATGTTAAAAATGTGATTTCCTCATTTCTTTAAATGCTGAAGAAGATATCAAGATGCATAGATTCAACACCAACATTCAAACAAGAACGTAACAAGAGGAGCAAGCCAAATCCTCTGCTAATATGTTAGAAACTCTAGCAAATTGTTTAGAGGAACAGCAAAAGATGATGGAGCAATTCATGGCAATACAGGCTAGACAAGCTAAGGAAGCTACAATGGTGGCAGTAGCAACTAGTATTCCTCAACCACAGCTAGAACCAACGATCCTAAGACTCCCTGAAATACCGATGCAATTCCAAATCCCTTCATCAGAACAGGCTGGAATAACTGTAAGAGAGGATATAAGGCAAAAATGGATTACAAAATTTTATGGATATAAACCTCCTATTTTTAAAGGAAACGCTGATATTCAAAGAGTGGAGGATTGGATTATGAATCTGGGGACAATATTTCAAAACATAAATTGACCTTATGAGCAAAGAGTACAACTGGCTGTTTTGGTTCTAAAAGGAGATGCTGAACAATGGTGGCAGGACTTGAAGTCAACTCTATGGGCAAGGAATACCTCAATAACCTGGGAAGTATTCTTAGAATAGTTTTACGCAAAATATGTTCCCCAAGCTAAAAGAGATAAGAAGGAAATGGAGTTCCTTACTCTGAAGCAAGCTGAAGATGAGTCCTTTGAAGGCTATTTAACTAAACATATATATATCTGTCATATTATTCTACTTACTTACAGCAAGCTACAAGGTGGAATGTAGAAAAATTAGCTAAAGGTCTCAAACCTAGTCTCAAGGAACGCATTGCCCCTATGTAATTGAGGGATTTCAATACGGCGGTACAAGTCTGCAAAGTGATAGGAAGTGGCCAGGACCATCAAGTTATGATGGAAGACACCCTTGGGAATAGGAATTTCGAACTATGAAGTATTTCTAAAAAGAAGAGAGTTCGAATGAACAAGCGGACTAGAAGAAGCTGTAAACGAACAAGATTCAATTTAAAATAAGGGTAAAAGGATGTAACCTATGTGGGAAATAGTATGGGAGCAAGCCTTGTCTGGCAGGATCAAATATCTGCTATAAATGTAGTGAAACTAGGCACTATATGAGGCACTATCATAAAAAAAACAGATGCCTTGATACTTCATGACAGCGGAAGGACTTTTGCCCTTCCACCAAATAAGATTCCAAAGCTGCCTCATATAACTTGAGGTACGAATCAAGTAATGGTTATTCCTTTGCTACAGTATTTAAATTAAACATGAGTTATTTATTCATATTACCCAGTATTGGGTAATAAAAACTGAGTATTGATGCATCTTTGTATGAATTAAGTGCTCCTAGTATGGTATCCTTATTACTGTGTGCCTGAGCTATGCTTTATTGACAAACCTATCTTTTATATGCATTTTCATATATTTTTGGTGGGTTTTTGTCATTATTATTGGCCCTTAATTGCATTATTTGAATATAATTCATATTAGAGTGCTTTAATTTGAATTAGTGCATAATAGGGGCAAATTTGTCATAATTGTGGTTAATTAATCTTTAAGGACAATTAATGCTACCTATCTTTCAATTTTAATTGCAGGTTTCTTTTTGAAGGATTAAAAAGGAAAAAAAAGAAGAAGAAAGAAATATAAAATTAAAAAAATTAGAAATAATAATAATAATAAAAAGAGGGCTAGGTAGTAAAATGCACCGTTTTACTATACCTGCCCTAATTATATTCATCATCTTCTTTATGTCTTTTCACTGGTGGCAAAGAGAAGACGGCGTGAAGGGACCAGGGGAGCTCGATAGCAGGAGAAAATGCGAGCAGAAGAGAAGGAGAGAAGTAGAGGTCGACGGCGTAAGAGGACCTGTGTGACGCTGGCGATCACCTCCAGATTCCATTTCTTCACTTCCACTGATTCTAATCATCATTTTCCTTACCCACAAAATCACCTATCCATCATCATTGACTTCATCTCCTTCCCTTCTCAGTGCAACAAAACCAAAGAGAACAAAGCAAACTCTTCAAGCTTCCTCATTTCCTTCTTAGTGTTCTTCCATGGCAACCTATAGCAAAATATTGATCATAGCATTTCTCATGGCTAACCGTGGCTAGCACTTTGTTATTCTCCAATTTGACAGCAATGGCAGGAGCTCGGATCATCAAAGGGGAGTTTTAATTACTTTAATTTCCTATCCAATAGTTGTTTAACAATTCCTAGGTCTTAGGATAGTTATTCCGATTATTGAAAAATTTGTATTGTTTAATCTAATTATATTTGGAGATTATTGTAGTTAGATTACTGTTTAGCATTTGACATTGGGCTATTTATAGCTTTAATTTCAATCATAATGTTGTGGTTATGACATTTACATTAACTTTGGAGTTAATATACTGTGATTTTCTGAGGTAGCCTGGAATCTTGGATCGTAATGTCTCTAGCTAGCTTTAATTCTATTGTTTTGGATTTAAGAGTTTTAATTAAGCATTAGTTTTTAGCATCCTTAATCCCATTTTACTATTGTAGTTGCAGTTAGTAATTTAGGATTTTGGAAAATATTTTGTGACAATTCAAGGTGGGTCGGTTGTTGGAATAAAAGCTTAAGTATAAATCTTAATTCATTATTTTAACTCCTATATCTATTGAAGTAAGGATTGCTTGTGTTGTTGAATTGGACGATTGATTATTATTATTGTTACTCATGTGTTTCATTTTCATTTCTTTCATCATCATTCATTTTAATCATTTTTATATAAAAATATCAAAAACAAGTATTTTAATTTCAATTTAATTCATGGCACTTAATTAGCAATTATCAAATCAAAATCCTTTTTGTAGTTTAGGTTGCTTGCATTTATTTAGTAGGATTTAATTTCATTTTTGGCTCCTCAAAGTGAATACAACCCGGATCATGCACTGTATTGCATTAAGTCGATCAATTTTGGAGTAACCCCAAGGCGACAAATTAAGGGCATTATTTCAAGTGTGGGGGAGTTTTGCCCAGGAGTGCAAAAGGCTAAGTGTGGGGGAGTTGACAAACCTATGTTTTACATGCATTTTTTAAAATCTTTTTAGTGGGTTTTTGTCATTATTATTGGTCCTTAATTGCATTATTTGAGTTAATTAGTGCTTTAACTTGAATTAGTGCATAATAAGGGCAAATTAGTCATAATTATGATTTATTGATCTTTAAGAACAATTAATTCTACCTATCTTTCAATTTTAATTGCAGGATTCTTTATGAAGAATTAAAAAGAAAAGAAGAAAAGAAAAGGAAAAAAAAGAAGAAAGAAAAAATAAATAAAAATTAAAAAAAAGGGCCAGGTAGTAAAACGCACCGTTTTACTGCCTGCCCTAAATCATTCAAAATGATCATCTTCATTCATAAGCCAGGGGTGCTCGATGGAAGGGAGTGACGGCAGGGGGGATTGGGGAGAGCGAACAGAGGAGGACTGGAGGCGACTGAGTGAGAGACCAGATCATCACCATCGCCTTCATCTTCTTCTTCTTCTCGGCATAATAACAGAACCAATGAGGACCAGAGAATCAGTGACAGCGAGAGAACTAGAACCAATCACCGTTTCCTTCACTCCCACCACTCTGAACCATCATTTCCCATCCCCATTGAAATCCATCATCACCGTCGGCTTCATTATCACCTTCTCGGCGTTCCTCCATGGTAGCCCGTAACAGAACGTTGATTGTGGCATTCCTTATGGCAAACCGTGGCTGAATTTCATGATCCTCTGGAGCAGTGGTGATGGCTTGAACTTGGAGCTTTAAAGGGGAGTTTCAGCTTTTTCAATTTTCATTCCTCTCATTGTATTAATGATTCCTAGGTCTTAGGATGAACTTTATAATGTTTGGATGTGCTGTGATGATTTATATTTGTATTGAGATTGGTTGTAGCTATTGGAATTTTTAATTAGCATTTAACATTATTTTGTGATTGGTTTTAATTTCTTACATTGTATTAGGTTTTGAAATTATTGTGAATATTTAGTGGTAATTTAAGGTGGTTTGGTTATTGGACTAAAAATGTTAATTGCATTTCTTTGATTCTCTTTAACTAATTGTGTTGAAACAGTCTAATTGTGAGTAATTAATATGCAAGATGACTTGATATTGAATTTAGCTAACTCCCGAATTAATTGAAGTAATGATAGCCTTAATCATTATGCTAGAAGTTTGCTTTTCCATTTGCTATCATTCGTTAATTCTTTTTATTTATTTCTTTCATATCCATTTTATAAACTAAAAATCCAAAAAAAAATTTACTCTTTTTGCATCCTCTTAAATTTTGCCAATTAGTTAGTTAAAAAGAAAATCAATCACTTTTCAAGTCAATTTTCTCTCTTTTGCATACTTAGTTACTTAGGATCTTTTTAAAGGCTCTCTAAAATGAATACGACCCGGATTGTGCACTGTACTGCATTAATTCGGTTAATTTTTAAAGTGGACCTAATACTACTAACAGTTCGTTCTTCATTTATGTTACATGATATATGAGTTGGATAGACAGAAAATTTGATGTTGAAGTTATGTTTTATGGATGGTTATGAAGTTTGAGGCTAGCTTTGATAGAATTTAAAGTATATTTATACACTATCCAAAGAATGTCAAAATAAATTGTTTAAAGACTAACTTTTGACTTAAAAAAAATTAAAGAAATCCCCTATGAGGAATGGACAATATTGGCACCTAGAGATATATTCTTAGTGTCGTGCACCAGTAAAAGGGATTTGGTCAAGCTATTCTGAAATAAATATCATTATCTGTTTTAATGGATGAAAGACACGGGTATGGTTAGATTAAGAATATACTATGTGATGATGTAAGCATGAGGTAAGCGAGACGATGTAAGTATGTTGTCATGAGGGCACAAGTCATCACAAGACAAAAAGGCAAAATGAGAGGTTGGATGGTTTAGTGAATCACTTTTTGATGACCTATCTAAGACAACAGTCAAACTATTTTGTTTTTAACAAGACTTATTGAGGAAAAATAGAACTAAGTATCTTAGATAATGATTTGATTCGGAATGCAGCCTGAAAATATGAGGCTGATGATTATGAATAAAAGTGATGGCTCAAATGTTAGAAACCCTAATTACATGATGACTCAATAGAAGTCTTTTAGCTAGAGTTGAAATGAGGAGACTACCGATGAAGTGGATACCTGACCTAGTTATTATACAATAGAGACATTCGAAGGATTATGCCCGTTGGATAATGTGATGACCAATGCACGATCATGTAAGTGACTGATCACGAAATAAGAGAGGATAGAGGAAATAAAAGGCAAGCAATATTCTTGAGGATAAGAAAGATGAGAAACATATAAGAATGTTATAGATAATGATTGCACTGGCAATCAGAATAGAGAAATGAAGATGTTCTAATGATGCTTCAATGTTTAATAGTGTTTAGAAACAAATGAAATCCTTCGACTTTAAGACATTTATGAGGAATATGATTGTAGCTTCAAGTTAATAAGAAACCTGGGATTGAAATTCCTACAGATGATTGCCACTGCCTATGTAATCAAATGAGTCTAGTGAAAATACTCTTTGTAACAAAGATACGGCATGTGAAGCAAGTACCCTAATAGAAATTGGAACAGCATAGCAAGGTAATCCAATTGTTCTTCTTATACTGCATGGACGAACAGAACTTACATGTTCTATAACAATTGAAAGTTACATATACCCTGAAAAATCATTCAAGCCGTCCTTCACATAGCTACAATCTATTTATTTCTCATTGCCCAATCACGGACATGATTTGGCCTGTCTCCTATACGTAAGATCCATTGAATTCTATCCCAGCTTCTTTAAGGTCATTTTTTCGCTGCTCAGTCACGGACATGATTTGGCCTGCCTCCTATATGTAAGATCCATTGAATTCTATCCCAGCTTCTTTAAGGTCATTTTTTCCCTGCTCAGGTCGAAGAAGATGGAGTTCTTGATCCTGAGACTACTATAGTTGCCATATTTCCGTCACCTGTGCATTATGCAGGTCCAACTGAAGTACAGTGGCATGCCAAGGCACGGATAAATGCAGGTGCCAACTTCTATATTGTAGGTCGTGATCCTGCTGGAATGGGTCATCCAACTGAGAAAAGGGATTTATATGACCCAGATCATGGGAAAAAGGTGCTCAGCATGGCTCCTGGCCTTGAGAAGCTTAATATCCTGCCATTCAAAGTGAGTAATGGCTCACGGCTTTATGTTATTGCTCCTCTCTATCAAATATCTCTTCACAGCACCGTCTTTGAAATGTTAATTTCCTCCTTATTCAGCCTTGTATGCTTGTTGTAGCTGGTAATTCCATCATACTTTTGGGATTAATATATGTGGGGAACTATTTATCTGTGGTTCTTCTGATGGCAGTGTAATTATCTGTACTAGCTGGCCTTTTAATTTTCAAGTCTAAATGGGTAATGGGTCAGTCATCACGATCATCTGTCTTGTTCTGGAATATGCATTCAGGGAGACATCTTTTGGTTTTCTTAAATTCTTAGTTCCAGTCTTCATTCAGCAGACCAAGAAATCCTAATCTTCGGGCCAAGTTTTGTTCAAATTGATACATTTTCAGGTGGACAACATACCGAAGCATACCTTGTATCCTCTTCTTTGAGTGGTTAAATGCTGTGAGTCGCCCATGATTTTACATACCCCAACAAGTTAAATTATACATCTTTGCATATATGATTACCTTGAACATTACATACATCTAATCTCACTGGTTTCATGTCTTCCCAACAGCTTTAATAGTTGTGAATTTTGTATTTCAATACATGACATGCTTATCTGTACGGAGATCATCACTGATTCACACACATTTATGTGGCTTCCCAAACTCTCCATCCAACATGTGTCTGTCTACATGTAATCTCTACCAGGCACGATGACCTTGCATAACCACATACATATAGTAGTAACATATATTCATGCCCATTTGTGTGGTCAAGTTGAGAATAACTTGGATGATGAGTCAAATGATGACTTGGATTTGATGGAGTTGTGGACACCTAATGTTCCTCCATGTATTTCATCTCAGTTGAAGTGAAGCAGTTCGCTCTCTTTGGTTTCAGAGGCTTCAAACCTGAATTTGAAATTGTAAGATACGTAATGGAGAAGGCAACAGTTTTGAGGACTGTCATTATTGGGAGTGTTGGCACAAGTAAAAGTAAAGAGAAAGACTTTCATCGTCATACCCCAGATGCTCTGCACACTGTAGACGTATTTATGATGCTTTTGGGGAAAATATTGAGGACGTGATGAGAAACTTTTGCACAATTGGGTAGTTAACAGGTGCTTCATTTTGAGCATAACATGCATCTATTAAGTTCAATTTCTGGTGTGATTAGTATTATAATTATGAAAAAAGCATGCTCTTTTTCAATGTTGTGAGGGTTTCAGATGATGGCAAATCACTTGGAAAATAAATAATTTTCAGTGAAAGCATTTAGATATATTGACGTGTTCAAGCATCGCAACCCATGATTTCCTGTGGCAGCGGAGGGCATATAGAATTGCTGTTCCAGAGTGAGAGATTAAACAAAACCTTCACTTCAATCTTCTTTCCGAAAAGAAAGAGAAGGCGCACAAATTAAATAATTAGCGAACTTGATATGGAACCAATCAATTTTTTTAAAGATAAATTTTAAATAAAAGAGAGCAACATTATTAGCATTAGGAGAACTGGCGGGCTCAATTATGCCCAAATTCTTAAAAAACACCCTTATAATGAAGTGGTCCTTAAACCCGTGGGTTCAAGTAGGACTTTTTAGCCAAAAATCATTATTTTTCAGGTATTTATACGAAAATGTACATAAAATAATAAAATTCATCATGAAAAATATAAAATTGTCAAAATTAAGTTACAAAAAAAACATCATCGGCAAATATAAAATTGTCAAAATTAAGTTACAAACAAACATCGTCGGTAAGTTAGGGATGGAACCTAACCCATGATTTTAAAAGTAATTTTACGGTATACAAAATAAATATGTAGAGAAGTTTATCTCAATTTAAAAAAGTGTTTTTTTAAAAACACTTTTCTTAAATGCCAAACAACTTTTTAGCCAGTTTTTCCTCTTTCATATTTAGAGGAAGGTATAATGCTGTGAGCCTGTAAACAAGTAGAAAAGGAAAATATATCATAAAATATGTTATTTTTGTAATGATTTTTTTTGGGAAAAAGATGAAATTTAAATGCTATTATAGGCACATGATGCTAGATTTAAAAATTTCATATTTATACGGGCATGTACTTATTTGATAAAGGAATATGACTAATACAAATTTTATTTTTGGCCTAACTAAAATTTCATTAAATTATTACTAATCACAATTACAAATCAAATTATTAGCACTTAAAATATGCTTATAAATATTTATAAACGTGATTTCAAAACCTCATTCTTTATTTTTACCTACTGCTCATATTTATTCTTACTTTTGAACGTTGGGATACACAGAATCAACATTAATACACAGATCCTAACAAGAAAGAGGCAAAACAGCAGAAGTCAAATAAGCAGCCCTACCTCCCATCAATAAGCTGCCCCGTCACTTTTTTTTTTTTTTTTCCGATGACAAAAGACGAAGCTCTAAACATCTTCTCTTATAAATTTCAACTCCGGATCTAGTCCTAAAACGCTATTAGAGTTGAATCAAAATTTATAATTTAAAATGGTTCTCTCCCATATAATCCCTTCTATGATTTGAACTTTATTGTTATACATGAATTATATGTGATTATAGTTGATAGAGTATCAATAGGATAATTTAAAAAAATGATAAGTACAAAAAAAAGTCTTACATTTAGGATTAAGATCAACTCAATAATTACATCCTACATTAAGCACCAAAGAAGTATAATAATATTTAATTTATAAATATTAAATATTTACCATTAGATTTTTATTCAATGATAGCGAAGACAAAAGGAGGGCATAATAAGGATGATGGAGGGAATTTTAAGACTTGTTTGGCATAGTATTTAAAATTATTTATAAGCATGTTTTATATAAATTAAGACAAAACTCTTCTCACATATTTATCTCATATTCTATAAATCATGATTTTAAAGTTATTTATAAATCATTCTAAATGGGTCTTAATCTGTTAATTACTTCAATTCGATCCTCTCATCTTTTTTTTTTCCTAAATGAAAAAATAGAATGGTCGATATTCAATATTTAATAAGATCAATTTTTATTTTTAGGTATTTTTCACTCTTGAATTGTCCAAAGTAAATTTCTATAAAATTCATTTATACATATATATTTAATTTTTATATAATGCTATTAGAGTATAGACTCCTAACCCTACTTGGCTTACTATGCTATCTCTCAAGTTACTCTCAATCATTCCTTACTTCTCCTCTATATCCATTTCCCCTAAAAAAATCATTTCAATCTCTTAACCTTGATTGGACCAATCCTAATAACCCATTACTTCCTAAGAAAGGTTTTCTCTCATACCGGGCTTTGCTTGTATCAGTGTTCCATTTAAACCTTTACCACAATCTTTACAAGAGCCTTTGTTCTGTTTAAACAATTGCTAGAAACCTGGCTCTAATACCAAAATATAATATTCTTCATTTAACCCCTCAGAGTATACATTTGGAAGCGTTATGATTCAAACTATTCATGAAACAAGCCTCTACATGAAAAATAAAATATAAAATTTTAAATAACTTAAAAATAAAAGTATAAGTGTGATATATATAACATCTTAAAATATTTATTTATAATAATAAAACTCGGAGGCAGAGCATAAATTGTAGATATATAATACATAAATAAATATTGTTTATATTTATTTTACTTATTTCAAATAAAAAGAATACAAATTAAAAATAAAAATATTTTCAAGAAACGAAAATGAGATATTTAACCTATATGTGATATCTTATTTTATATAGTTTAGAGTTATACATAAAAAAAAAAAAAAAAAACTATATATGGATTATCATTGGTGACTATTAACGCTGATGGTTAGGAAAACGAGTATTCTCGCTGTGGTAGTACGATTTTCAACTGCTCTTTTACCCTCCCAAAATATTCATTAAATTTCTTTTTTTGTGCTTGGTGAAGTTCTTCATACCAGAAAGCTTCTGGATCTATCTATTTATTCAGTGCATTTTTCAACTCCAAGTGACAGGTAATCATCATTCTCTTTCTTCCTCTGCCTTTGGAGCTCACAATAAAGTGTAATGAATTCGTCCAGTTTTTGAAAATTCGTCCGGTTCTCGAGTCAAATCTAGTTGCCGGCTCAACAGGTGCTTCCAAGTGACTCGATACGGTTTGATCTATGATGAGCAAGTCATAAAAGCTGAACATGAAAGTATAGTTGATGAGGACAATAATTATCAAGCGGATGAGACAACTCGTCAAATTTAATTTAACATTTGCCCCACAAATAAACCACGTTTGCGACTCAGTCAGATATCAAATTGTACAAAACTTATGAACCAATTAGTTACGTAATCTTATCTTGTTTCAAAAATTTTAAATTTGTATTTATCCATTAAATATATTTAAATATAACTAAAACGTATTTTCAAATTTTTCCCAATAATTTGGCCAAAAATATTTTCCCAATAAGAACTATCTTTGTTTTTATAATTTTATTTTTAATTATTTTCTTTCTTTGGCAACAAATGTTAATTATTCTCTAACAATTATTGTATATAAATATATAATATAAATTTGTGTTATGAATATAATGATATCTTTGTGGATGTCCATATATCTCCCTTTATTTCCTATATCTCCTATAATCTCTAATATCTCCCATTATCTCTATATCCCACAATTATCTCATATTATCATGTAATCTGTAGATTCTATCAAAGATGTAAAGCTGTACATATCAATAGAGGTCATGTATAATGTATTGTGTACTTTTGAATGGAATGAGAAAGACTCTCTCTTATCAATCCTCTCTTCCTTTGTATGATTCTTTTCTATTTCTTCTTTATTTATAACACGCTATCAGCACGAAGCTCTAACCAAGGTGCGTATGATATACCTTTCTATTCCAGCATAATTTTAGAGCTTCATCTATATTATTTTTTTGGAGTATCTCTTGCTTTGTTCAAATAAAAATATCTCGAGTATCACATATATGGTGTTTCAGAGTATCCGTATTCCTATTCAATTTATCTAGGATAATCTAAGCCATTATATGGAATTAAAAAAAAAATATCTACCGTTGTTTTAAACATCGGGTTCCATGGCTATGATTGGAGATTTTTTCCCCCTCTATTTCTTATTGACCAGATGTCACTATTTTGATGGAACCCGAAGTTCCAATGGATACTAGCAGTATCTTAAAAGAGTTATCATCTAAAGTTAAATGGCCAAAAGCCATATAGTTCTAAGTTCTCATCTCATTGAGATTAAATGGCTAGAAGCCATATAACTCTGATTTTACATTCTTTTCAAAT